AAAAGAAAGAAAGAACCATGAATGGTACCTGAAACCTATAACCCTAAACTCCTCGGAAGGTGGAAATGGAGAGTTGCACTTTGCGGCCAATCTGGGCAGGAAAGTCTGTGAGACTTCATCTCCAAAGTAAGTAGTAAAAATCAGGACTGGAGGAATGGCTCAAGTTTTAGAACATTAGTTAAGCAAGAAGTCAAGGAAGTGTGAAGCCCTAAATGCAAACCCAGTACAGCCAAACGATCAATGGACCCACAGACTGACCCTATATCCACCTGAAGGACCCTGTATCCCCTAGCTGCCAGGTACATGAGAGGCAAATCTACCCAAATATCTTCCACCTGTCTAACCTCTCAGGATTCCTCATACCTGGCAATGCTCTTTGGTCCAAAACAATGCCCAGAAACAAGCTCCTTCCCCCAAGCCTTTCACTTTACTCTCGGGCCACGTTCTTTATCCCCATATCAAGCAGGTGAGACGCCATACATACTATGCCAGGGGTGCTCGCTCACAGTTCATGCTATAATGGAGGTCACCTAGCTCACTAGGACTACGGCTCCCGGGCTTCACCGAACCTACCCTCGGAATCCTGGACATCATTGTACAGAACCCACTTTGGCTACTCTCCCCATCATGAGGTGCCTCAGTGCTCAGAGTTCCATACAGCAGTGCACTCTGGTTGTTCTTGCCCATTTTCAAGAACACTTCACTTCTGCCTCCAATCGTCTTATCAGAAGTCACTACCCATTTATCTAGGTCTTCTTTTCCACGAAATTGCCAGACAACTTTGGCTTGTTCCAGCAAGACTTCATGAAGGGGACGGCCACCTGGTCCTACCCAGGAATTCATGATTTCATCTTTCAAACGCTTGAAATGATCCTTTATTTCATCTCTAATTGCTTTGTCAAAACTAATCTCAGTCTTCTCTTCAGGAGAAGTTACATCCAAGGCAATATCTTTTGGGGGGCGTACTTGCAAACCCTCTGCAGTCTTCCTCGGTTGGGAGACTCTGTCATGAGTAACCATTGGTTTCTTAGGACTACTGGAACAATACTTGGCAAAGTGGATTCCCCAAAAAGTCTGCAAGGTGGCATCTGGCTTCAGTTGTTTCCTGAGAATATAAGTACCATTCAGGAATTTGTGACCCAAAACCATGGTAAGAAAAAGTCTGAACGGGACTTTCTCCCTGGATTATCAAAGAAAGAAGCTTCAGAAATTGCACCTGTAACAGAAGAAACATTGAAGAGTTAATTACCAATGTGGCAAAACAGGCATCACAAGTTCAAACGAAGGATCATGTATTAGGAAATTCATAGTTTTTAGTTGTTGTTCTTTTGAGACAGCATTTCACTACGTAGCCCATGCTAGCATTAAATTCAAAATTGCCCTAACTCAGCCTCCCAAATGCTGAGACTAAAGATGTGTACATCATGCTTGGTTTAAACTTAACTTTCTAATCCTATAAACATTTATCACCTATTATGAGCAGAGCACTCTATTAAGCATTGGGAAAAACAGGAACAAAAACACAAGTCCCAGATTCCTGCAGCTGATGATGAACCCCAAAATAATTCAAATATGTGCCAAAGCTACCTAAAGAGCTGGTGTTAACTTTAAAGTTTTAATGCTGTATTTTTACAGAACAGGTTCCAGAAGTAACCTATTCAAGCAATTCACCCTAGGACATAAGCCACCTGACTGTAGATCTTAGCATTTCAACCTTGCAAGTAAGATTAGGAAGCATAGCCTTGCCACACAGCTCTACCTATTAAGCTGTACAATTTGGGTATTGCCATTTCATAGGGCTAAATCTAATAAAGCTCTTTGCCTTCAAGTACACCAGTTGATCTCTGAGACTCCTGTTTCCTTAAGAGGCTCTTTAGGAGATGAGGGGAGAGCTATGAGGGTTCACTGGCTCCAGTCGTAGAAGATCTGCACGCCAAGTCGAAGCCCCGTGTTCAAACCCCAGCACCCCTGAACCATGAGGGCGAATGAGGTTCCAAAACTCAGTTACCCAAGGTCACACAGCCAGGAGGCAAAACCCAACCCAGGAGTCTAGGCGTCCAGGTCCTGGGTCGGTGCGGGGTCCGAGGGGTCGAGGAGATGGGGTGACCCCCCTCAGCCCTCACCTGCCACCGGCGTGTCAGCTCCCCGCGGCGCCCCGCTCCCCTTCTCGGAGAATGTGTAGGGCTTCCGCTCCGGTCCGCCGCTCTTTCCCGCCCCCTTCTCCACTCTTCCGGTGTTGGTCCAATTGCTTTTCCCTTCCGGTGTCAAACCAGGCACCTAGAGTCTAGAGTTCCTGCCTGGTTTTTGGTCCACTCAGTCCCCACAACGCAGGGCTTCTGTTTGTTGTCTTTTCTTCCCTTTTTGAGAAAACAGACAACTGAGAACTGCATCCCACCCTCAAGCTGCAACCTCCCTTCTCGGGTTTTCCCCCTATTCCTGTATCTTTCAAATAGAACCTGGAGATTAACTCCCCCTAACATTCATCTTCCCACAGTCCCAAAAAGAGTTGTCAGTGATCTCAGAAAGCCATTTCTGCTAGATCTGCTTCAGTGATGGGTCCTGGACAAGCACCCCGACAACATCCTGTCCTAACTGCCAGCCCCAATTCCACCCATGGGGCTCTAGTACATCTTGTGCACACCTCTGTTAAAGGATTTCAACATGTGTCTTAATGAAGTTGCATAAGCCTCCCCACATTGAGAAGTTTCTTCCTTCTCGGTCTGCTGTCTCAGGGATAGGCTGCTCGATGGAGTCTACCTTTTTATTTGTTTTGTTTTGCTTTTTGGTCTGTGATGGAGCTCAAACTCTGGGGCTGGGTGCTGTCCCTGAGCTCTTCAGCTCAAGACGAGAACTCTACCTCTTGAGCCACAGAGCCATTGTTCAAATAAAAAGAGGAGCCTAGAGTGTGCTTTGTACTATTATCACTCAGGAGGCTACAAGTTTGAAGCCAAGCTGAGTTACATAATGAAGCCTCTCAAAATAAGCAAGCAAAGATGAGAGGGAATGAGGAAGAAAGGCAAAAAAAAAAAAAGTCACATGGCAGCTTTTGAGATGGAAGGTGCAGGGAAGGGGACTGGAAATGAAGTTGTCAGAGGTCTGACAAGTGGATCCAGTCTTCACGACTCTTCATGGGAGCCATATGAGAAAATGGTGCCACTGACATGATCTAAGTGTGGATGTTTTGCCTGCTGGTGATCACATTTAGGCTCAAGTGAACAAATGAATCAATAGGCACACGTGTGCCTGTGTGTTGCTGAGGATTGTACTCAGGGCCTCACAGGAGATATGCCCCCAAACAAAAATGTCTCAGAAACCAGGTTTCTCCTTTGACATGTTAAATATGTGAAGAATTACTATGTTGCTAAGTGAGCCCACAAGTTTGGATTACATTATATAGCTTATTACAAATGTACTATTATCAACTGTGATATATGGCTCAATAAATGAGTAATTAATTAACCATATGTATCAAAGTTGGTCAATAACTTATTTTCTTGTGTTGATAATAACCTTGGACTCAGCCTCAGGCATTTTTACTCAAGGGTAGCATTCTATCACTTGAGCCACAGGTCTACTTGCAACTTTTTAGTAGTTAATTGGAGATGATGAACTACTCAGATTTGTCTGCTGGGGATGGCTTCAAACCACGATCCTCAGACCTCCGCCTCCTGAGTAGATAGGCTTTTGGGCATGAGCCACCAGCACACAGCTCTAATGTACTCTATAAATTTGGGTTACAGTGATAAGAGATTTTGCTTATTATATGTGAGGGGGACCAAGGCTTCAATCTTCAACACTGAAAAAAAAAAGTGGGGTAGAATTGCTGGAAAATAACACTTTAATGCCCACACATCCTCTAGCTCCCCAAATTATTATTATTACTGTATTACTATTTTCGGTACTGGTCCTGGGGTTTGAACTCAAGGCTTGTGTGCTGTTCCTGAGCTTTTGTGCTGAAGGCTAGTGCTCTAACTCTTAAGCAATAGTTCCACTGCTGGTTTTTTTAGTACTTAATGGAAGATAAGAGTCTGAGATTTTCCTAGGCGGGCTGGCTTCAAACCATGATCCTTAGATTTCAGCTTCCTAAGTAGCTAGGATTACAGGCATGAACTACCAGTACTCTGTTCCACATTATTCTTGATTTAAAGGGACTAGCACTTAGGTAGACTTGTGGTCCAAAAAATATGTGTTGAAGGAATAAAGAATTAGTTAAATCTTGTAATGGTTAGTCGTCAACTTGATTAAGAGACATACAGATTCGTAAATCACGATTCTTGAGTGTGTCTGTGAAGGTGTCTCATTGACTTTGTTGATCATCCAGAGATGGGAGAGCATCTGGGGGGGTCGGGGGTGGGAATCCTACCCTGCCTATAGGTTGCTACATCCAAAAGGATAGGGCTCCGGTGAAATACAAATGGAAGATGAAAGAGGCCAACCAGCTGGTGTGAGCTCCGTTCTTCCTGAGCCAAGAACATCTCTGCATTTGCATCACCGGTGGACAGCGGACTCCAGCTTCTAGGCGCTTTCATGGACTCACTGAAGCAGCAACTCTCCAGGCAACGTCCCGACTCCTCCGACTGGGATGCAGTCACGTAGTCATTCGCTACAATGTGGCCAGGGTAATTCCTTTAAAACACAAATCCCCATCTTGGCGTACCTCAATACTACCCTGAACCTCCTCAATACCGCCGCACCCCCCGCCCCACTCACTCACACCACGCCTGCGGCTCCGTCTCCAATGAATCTCAGTTCCCGGATCCCAACTCTCGCTATGAGGCCCGGTTCTCTGCTTGGCCCTCTCTCCTCTGGGGTAACAAATGCGTCCTCGGGGCCCCGGCCCAGGCGTCGCACGCCCCACGGCCCAGCCCGGCCCGGCCCCAGCCCGCTCGGGCAACTCGCGGCTCCCACGAGGGCGGCCCCCGAAGCCGCCCTCCACACTCGACCTCACACAGCTGGAAAGCCGGAGGCCCGTGAACTTCCCCGGCCCGAGCGGCTCCAACCCGCAACAGGTGAAAACCAAACAGGCCACAGCCAAGGGCTCCGGGACAGCGCGGGTCCCAGGTGCGGCGAGCGCCCGCCCGGAACCCGCCAGCGCGTGGCCCCGCCCCCACG